CTCCATCCCTCCGTCCATCCCTCCATCCCTCCATCCCTCCATCCCTCCATCCCTCCATCCATCCATCCCATCATGCTATTCCCTTTCAAGGCAACCAACATCATGCAAAGTGCAGGGGGGAAAAAACCTTTGAAAGATATAAATCTGTTAACATAGTCAATCTTTTTCTTCTTCTCCTTTCCATTTGTCTGCATGGTGCAAGGTCTCTGTGTTTGCACTTAGCTGCCTAGGTCTCACAGCAAAGCTAATAATGCATGATGCAACACACCCTTTGCTATTCAGCCAGTTTATCACAGAGTCTGATGCTGTTTGGGGCTGAGAGAAGGGGACTGGCTCAAAGTCACTCAGCTGCCTTCCATGCCTAAGGGAAGACTAGAACCTGGGTCTCCCCACTCCTAATCCAGAACCTTAACCACTATGCTAAACCAACTCTCATCCATGAAATCCCATACAACGTACACCATTACTTTATAAATAACTATGTTGTGCTTCATATTCAATTCTGAAAAAGTACTTTGGAGATTCTGCAAAAGTGCCATGAAAAGTAGAGGCTCCTTTGAAGAGTTGCAGGCAGGTATGAGGTCAGGGCCTCCACATGCCCCAAAGTGCATTTTTGGATCTGAATCCAAAGCGTTGCACGGCCTTACTTTGTGGCACCTCTACAGATAGTTATTGTGTATGAAAACATCCTGGTTTTCTTCCCTTTCTTCAGCAAAGGTTATATCTTGCAAGCAGTCTCTGGATGGCAGCTTTAATCTCTTTGTTTCTCAGTGTATAGATAATGGGATTCATCAAAGGGAAAACCACAGTATGATAAAAGGCCACCACCTTGTCAAAGAGACCATTCTGTAAGGGACGGCAATAGATGTAAATAGCTGGACCAAACATGATGAAAATGATGATGATGTGGGTGATGCAGGTAGAGGCGGCTTTGCTCTTTCCTATGCTGGAGCCCATCCTCACCTTGATCAGTAGTGCCCAGTAGGAGATGAGGAGGATGATAAAGCATCCAGTGGTTAAAAGGCCACTGTTGACAAACATGATGAACTCTAAAGTATCAGTATTGGTGCAAGCCAGTTTAACGATCTGAGTGATATCACAGAAGAAGTTTTCCAATTCATTGGGACCACAGAAAGGCAGTGGATTAATAAGCATGACTTGGATCATAGTGTGGATGAAACCTCCTGCCCATGAACCTAACACAAAGACCCAGCAAAGTTCCCTGGTCATAACGGTGGCATAATGCAAAGGGTGGCAGATGGCTACGTACCTATCAAAGCTCATGGCGATAAGAAGGATCATTTCCGCTGCGCCGAGAAAATGAATGAAAAAGATCTGAGCTATGCAACCTTGGAAGGAGATGGTTCTGCTGCTAGAGATGAAATTGACTACGATCTTTGGCGGCGTGATACAGCTGTAGCAGATGTCCATCAAAGCTAGATTGGCTAAGAAGA